CTCCTCCCCCTCCCCCTCCTCCTCCCTTCCAACTATCTGTCCAGAAATTGTTTCCGCTTGGAAACGGGACAAGCGATGTAGTATCCAAAAACGCTCTCCTCTGGCATCTGACAAGCGCCGTCTCGCACATTAACACCCTGGAAACACTGTCGCCGAGTCCCCTCGGAGTCGAGCGGCCGCTTCCCGCTGCTGGGCTGACAACTTGCTTAGTTTTCCATCAGCGTTTTGAGCCGGCGCCATTGCACCGCAGCGGTTGGTTAGCTTTCTTTCGCTCCGCTTTAGCCTGGCTGCTAACGCTTCAACTCCTGCTTCCACATGCCCCCGGCCAGCGTGCGCCGTGATTGGTCAAGACAAAGGCCAACGTCACTACGCCAGCCCGACGAAGGTTTTGGAAACGTTCGTTTCGGTTCCGCGTTGCGCCGGACGAGCGGAGTTTGGAGTCGAGCCGTTGATTCGCCTGATGAATTCACACAGAAATAAAATGACAATGAATTAAAGGCATCAAAAGTATCAAGCGTATTGACACTCTTCCTATATATTTTTTTATTTGAATACTTAAAATGTAGTGTAATGCGTACTTATGTGCGTGACATGCAATGGTATTCAAACATATGTATATAAACAATAAAAGGATACGTTTGTCAAAGTTGTGTCGTGAACTGACCCTGATGCTCGCTTAAAACTCAATTCACATCTGCCATCTGGTGGCCATCGGCAGCAGATAATAAAGCGCTGCGGTGGAAACGAGGCGTGCAAATCTCAATGACGAAGGACTCAATAGTTGCCATGATGTTGCGACAGCAGAAATGAAGAAAAATGGGATCGTTCGGTGTGGGGGTTGTGTAGCCTCATTCATTGCACCTTAGAAAGATCAAAATTGAAATCAGAATTCAATAAATACAATATACACGGGGTCTCTTTACAATTCTACAAATGTATTACAAACAAACAAAACAGGAGAGATTATTACCAAGAACATAACAACATGATGCTGTTTTTGGGTGTGGTGACGCACCGTGTTTCAGCCAAACGTACACCTCCATGAAATTTAGTCCAAAAAGGTCAGCATTGGATTCATCGGGATCGCGCCATGACTCACTGTCCCATTGTGTTTGGGAGACTTTGTGATGGGCCAGCACCCGCAATAGATATACAGTACAAGGAAGCTGTACCTAATGTAATTATTTACATTTTAAAAATATATATTTCGAGACAGACATGCAGTCTACATTAATATATACATACATAAATACAACCATGCTTTACAAAAAGTACATTTATTACGTCTTATGTTTTATTATTAGAATGTGGAAAGTAATAATAAGTTGTATAAATACACCTGTATAAAGCTAATCAAACTACAGTGGCACAAAAATGAAGTATCCTTCGTTTTTTTCGTTAAAATGTATTATTATTATTATTATTATTATTATTATTATTATTATTGAAGCGCCGTTCGTCCTTTGGTTGCCATGTTTGCGGTGACGTCATCAGGAAGCGTATTCGTGCGTGACGCAGGCGAACTGCGACGAGAAAGCAGAGAGCGAGAAATAATGGCAGTATCGCAGCCGAAGCAGGACAAAGAGGGCGAAGAATGCTCTCTGCTGCCTTTGGTCCACGATATTATCAAATGGTAGGCTGAACACAAACGTCCGACAGTGTCTTAACTTAAAATGAGCTTAATTTTCATTGCAAAGTATTCGTTGTTGACATGTTTGCCAGAGCTAGCACTGGGCTAGCCTAACACGAAGCGATGCCAACGGGAGAAATAAGGTGACCTGTTTGGTTGTGTTTTCGAGCATGGACAAGGAAAGTCCGGACGTGCACCAAGAGCTGGGTAAGCTGAAGGCGAAGATCCAGGAAGCCCGTGAGCAGATCTCCGCCATGCCCGGCATCGAGAGCAGCCCCGTGGAGCAGCAGCAGCAGCTAGCGACGCTCCGGGAGCAGGTCCGCACCAAGAACCAGCTGCTCCAGAAATACAAAAGTTTGTGCATGTTCGACGTCCCCAAGGCGTCGTGAATAAAAGACCGAGATGAACGATGACCACGCTGACTGGAAGGAGCGCAGACATTGACAATGACTCGGGCGCTTTGTTTCAAATTGCAAGCGATCGACGGTGGCCCACGAGACACATTTGTTCCGGTCGAGGCCGATGAATGCACTTTGAATGACCGACAGTTGGCTGACTCTCGGGGTGTCCAAACTCGGTCGTCGGGGGCCGCCGCCCTGCCTGATTTCCAGCCCTCGCAGAAGTGACAGCCTGATTCAAATTATCAGGATCGTTCGAATGCTGCTTCAGAGCTGGCTGATGAGCTGATCGTTGGAATCGCCTGCAGAGCTGGAAAACAGGAAGGAAGGTGGCCCCCCCAGGCCCGGAGCTGGACATCCCTGGCTTTCTCCATTATTTTGTCGGGCGATATACGTCCAAAGTTGTTTTGTTTTTTTTGGGAAGGTGGGGTGTTATGTTGTCTTTAAGCAATCTTTTCTAATAAATGACCACAATGGTATTATTCTTTCTTAGTCTAGAAGCACAACTGAATGATGATTTTATTTTTTTTATTCTATAACTAGGGTAGGTTCAGCAACGAGTGAAATATTTTTCTGAAACGACATTACACCGAATGGCAAAGCCATATTACGCAGACTCATAGAGGTCACACTTGGAAAAAAAACTAAATGAAAATATCACAATGACCTGATGCGCTAGCGAGCGGGTCATTTTGTCGGAGACATGATGCAGGGAACTAGTGCACAAACAAGACGTATTGCTGGAGTTTTAAAATGATTCTCCTGGCGCTCCAGATTGCCATTCTTTGACAATGCCATCGGTGACTTTGCAAGTCAAACAAACTTTGAAGGAGGATCTTTCGACTCAAAGTGGCAGTAAAAGAAGACTTCCCTGCCGGCGTCTAGTGTACATGTGAATGAGCGAATGCGAAGGATTTCCCAATTTCAAATAAGCCCGGGGTGTGGGGGGTCCGTCACGTTGAACGGGGCATGTAAAAATGGAGAGCGAGGCAAGACTATGAAAGTAACAAGTTTTTATTGGATCGGATGCAAAAGTGACTACATGTTGGGGTTTGTTCGTCGGGTGGCAAAGTTTCAAGTTCGGCGGGGCAAGTTAGCGCCTTTGTGGCGCCGCGTCCGGCGTCAGCAAATGACGCAGGCTTTCTCCTTGGCCTGAGCTCCGGCCACGGCCTTCTCCCTGATGTACATCAAGTCACTGTGGACGCTGGGCCGGCGCGCGAACGGCGTCACGATGCCGTAGGCGTCCTTGCACCTCCCGGCGCGGAAGGACTTGCGGCGCAGCAGCTCGCACGACTGCGGCGACACCTTGCAGTGGCGGCCGGGGCTCATCTCGTCCGGCAGCTTGGCCATGGCGAAGAGCGCCCGGAACATGCGGTCCACGTCGGTGTTCTTCTTGGCCGAGACCTCGAAGTAGGCGCAGCGGGGGCCCTCGTCGGCGCCCGCCAGCTGCTCCGCCTCCTCCCTCCGCACCTGCCGCTGGAACTCGCGGTCGCACTTGTTGCCGCAGATGACCAGCGGCACCTCGGCGCTCTCCTTGGTCTTGTTCCTCAGGCGCGACTTGGTCTCGGAGATCTGCCGCTTGAGCCGCTGCACCTCCTGGAAGGAGTCTCGGTTGTCCAGACTGAACACCAGAATGAACACGTCGCCTGTGGCGGACAAGAGGAGCAAACGCGCGATTTTAGCAAGCATCGTGGACGTTGCCGTGTTTGATGTGCTTTCGCGGGCCACGCAAAATGATGTGGCGGGCCAGATCTGGCCCCCGGGCCTTGAGTTTGAGACTGTGCCGTAAATTAAACATTTTTTGTGTGATTTTTTTCGGGCCCCCGGGCCTTGAGTTTGACACCTGTGCCGTAAATTAAACATTTTTTTGTGTGATTTTTTTTCATCCCCACGGAAAACGAGGATACTATGAGAAAGTGAAGACAACTTTTTTCCCCTCAATTTGCAACTTTCGTAACTTGCATTGCATCGACTTCAGCTTTTTTTTCACGAGTAAAGGTGCGCTGCGTGCATCGATTTCTCTTCGAGTCTTCAAATGGAGCCGCGCCTAGCTGGCATAGACCTCAACGAGTCGACCCGGATGGCCCAGGTGCATTGTGGCATCGGTGATTTGCTTGCTTTCATGCTTCGCCAGGCAATGTCGGACGCGCGCTCGGCGCGGCGCGAGCTCCGAACGCACCTGTGAGGATGGAGAGCCTCCTCGTGGCAGGGAAAGGATGCTTGTTCCCGGACGTGTCCAAAATGTCCAGCTGGTAAACGCTCCCGCGGATGCTGTAGAGCTTCCGGTGGAAGTCCTCGACGGTCGGCGTGTACTGCTCGTCCACGCGCGCGCTCAAAAAGCGCGAGACGATGGCCGTCTTGCCCACCTCGCTGGAGCCCAGGATCACCATCCTGCGGCGGTTCTTGGCCGGGATGTTCAACCCGTTCTCGGAGGCGGTCATCTTCCCGATCATGGCCCGAGTGCCTGCGCGATGCCGAGTTCCGAGTGGGACGCGACCTGCGCCGCGCCGCTTTTACGGGGCACGTGGCCGCGCCTCCCTCGTGCGTCACGGAGCCCCGCTCCCGCCCGGGCAGCTGGAGCCGAGCCGAGCCCCGAACCATCGTTCCTCCGCCGCCTGGGCGTGACGTCAACTCACCTCTCAACTTAGCTGTATTTATTGAGCGCTGGAGACAAAGTGCTGTGCATGGAGCAAAAACAAACAAAAAAAAGACTCTCTCCCGCCTTTCGCCATTACTTGTCTCCGGGACGCTCCCTGGAGGAAACACGGCTGCGGCGGCAAGGTGACGCCGAAAGGGGGCGCCCAAACTCAGACATCCAAGCATTTTTGCTTTCCAACGGGCTTCGGTGGAACTGCTTCTGTATTTTTGTCCTTCCGTTTCGCAGCTGGGGAACACACGATGCCACTTTATGATTATTATTATGATTGTTAGAATTATTTTGCCCCACTACCCGAGCGAGGTGTAACGACCGACACCACAAGAGTGTTTCATATCCTATAAACCAGGGGTCCCCAACCTTTTTTGCCCCACGGACCGGTTGATGTCAGACAATATTTTCAGGGACCGGCATTTAAGGTGTGGCGGAAATAATACAACAAAATAATATGGTATGAGCTGCATGCAAACTGGAGTGTTTTCCAAATATAATAATAAACACAAGGAGCGTCCAATCTGGCCGCAACACTCTGATCGCTGTGGTCACGTTTAATGCCTTCAAAATACGATATGACGCAAATTCAAAGTGCATGAAAATGACGACTCACCACAGCCCCGAGCTTGATTTTCTGCAACCAGACGGTCCCATCTCGGGGTAATAGGAGACAACGACGCCTCAATCGTGTGGTTCATGTACAGTCTACTTCGTAATGTTGTGGTTTTAGTCGCCGTCTTGGCAGAAAACCCCCGCCTCACACAGGTAGGATGTGGGAAACAGCAACAGTGCTATTGTGGCGATGTCAGAGTATTCAGCCACAACTTGAATCCAGTTGTCTCCAACAGACTTTTACGGGCGCCGTCATTTGCGACCTCCAGCAGTTTTTTAAACTCGCTTTGCGAGCTCCGGTGTTTGTTTTTAGCCTAATTGGTCACGTGACGGAGAAGCGTGGCTTGACGTGCGTCAAGCTGGACACAGACGGATGTAACGGAGGATCCGGTCATTTTTCAAAATAAAACATCTTTCGTATACCGAAATAAATACAACGCAATGAAAGTTCTTTCTGTGCTGCCCGGTACCAAATGCCCTGCGGACCGGTACCGTGCCGGTCCGCGGACCGGCGGGTGGGGACACCTGCTGTACTGTGTACAGTTCATTATTTAAAAAAAAAACATTTATTTTGTGCATGCAAGTACTTCATGTTTTCTTTTTCTCCTTTCTTCCCTCCAATTTTGCTGCTGTAGATTGCGAATATCTCCATAGTGAGACAAATAAAGGTTTTCTTTTCTTTATTCTAGGATTGTTCCCGTGAGTCGAACGTATCATGCGGCAGCATTTCCATCGACTTCTAGCCAAACCTAGAAAGGGCCCTGACCTTTTTGGAGCGGGCGGATGAAATCAGATAGGTGTAGCTAAGCCTGGCTGTTCTAGACTCGCGTTTGTGTAACTGCGATGCATGCAAATGGTGGATCAGCACACGAAACGCTTCCTCGGGTGTGTCGCTGCGCCCGTGTTACACCGCCCTCAGGCGGCCACGGTGCGCGTGCCAGTAGGAAGTGTTTCGTGATGTCGTGAATGGATGGTGTCATCACCTTCAAAGTCACACAAGGTCATTTTCAGGTTTTGCCCACTTGTTTGTTTTCCGGGAGGAGGATGAAACCGATTGATGGCACTTTCACTCATTTCAATGGGGCGAGATGGTTTGAGACGTGAATGTTTTCTGTTTTTCCATTCCGATGAAAGTCCCGTCTCAAGACGCCGCCGCGTTTCCGTTCCCCGTCCGGCGGGGCACCGGAGAAAGGGTCCACGGTCTGGCAAGTACAGCGTTTGCACGGGCATCCGATTCGCCCTTTCGCTTGGTGAAAAGAAGCAAAGCGAGCTCTCTTCTGTCACGGCGCTCTGTCCTGCCTTTCTACGTGCCAGCCCAAGCCTGGAGAGATTGTGCGTTCGCAAAGTCCCTCGCGGTCAAAACGCGGACCTTTTCTTTGTTTCCGCTTCAGTGGCAAGTTGGACTGCGGGAGTGCGACAGACACGTTGCGCTCTGGAGGAAACGTCTCCGTCCAACGGGCAGGAGTCGATGTCGCGGATTGGGGAAAACGTTTGCGAATGGACGCACGCGCAAGAAAACACGGAATCCTGTGGACGCTCGCGTAACCCGCCCCAACAAAAATGAACGAAACAACAAAAGATCAACCAAATCTAAACAGCGTGAACTCTGAATTGGAGTTAATTACAAGTCAAGTATCAAAAAGCTAGGATCACTTTTTTACCCTGCGTGGCATCACGATAAAAACAACACGATACTCTCAGCACAGCTTGGATTCATCGTCGAGCTGTCAATGGAAAAGGTTAGCGAGGAGAGAATGGCTCGATCTAGCACACGCGCGTGCGTGCGCGCGCGCGCGCACACACACACACACACGAATTTGTATTTGTGTATTGTGTGGACATTTCATTTGTGCGTACGCACGCAGTGGACAAGCTGTTCTGTGTCCTTCCCAAGCAGTCAAAACAGTGTGTGTGTGTGTGTGTGTGTGTGTGTGTGTGTGTGTGTGTGTGTGTGTGTGTGTGTGTCTTCACACCTTGTGCACTTTGCTTTCCAACTGCTTTGCTGTCACCTGAGACGCGTACGAAATATACACTCTGTTCTTGTTTGAATGTAACAAAAAAAAAGAAAAAGATGGAAAACAATGGAAGGGCTAAAAAAAAAAAAAAAGCTAGCTGGGAAGATGGCTGCTTGAACGCTGGTGGGGATTGATTTCTCCCGTCGCCGGCTCCTTACCGGTTCGAGACAAGGCAGCGTCTCGTGCAGCGATGTGGTCCGACGCGCCCTCGGCCATTTTCACGCGGAGGCAGACAATGATGCCATTGCAATTGGCCGTCGGAGTCCAAATCAGTACGGCGGGGCAAATTTCGAGCGCCGATTGCGCGCAGCCGGCCCTTTTCTGGACTCCAGAATGACAGCGTGCAATCGAAGCGAGATCACAGAACTTGGGGCAAAGGGATCGTTAAACTTGTCTCGACGTGAGCGCTAAAAGGCCCACGCCGATTGATTTTCCCTACGTTCCCCATCGCACCAAAGAGGCACGTGCGACCAACGGGTGAGCTCGGCGAGCACAAACCTCAGGTCATCTCCTCTGATGAGGAGGCCGATGGGTATCTGAGGACAAATCAGTCTCCCCGCTGCGGCAAGATCGTCCAGGCGAGGGAGCTCGAGCCACACACGGGTGGCAGGAAAGGCTCCCGAGTCATTCCTTCCAATTCAATCGAGAACCAAGATGACAACCTGTGCGGTCCCGGCCGCGCGCTCTCCCGTTCGCGGCGGACACGTGAGCCGGCTGATCTCACCGACACACTAATACTACTGAACTCATTCATCGGCCGCAATCAAGAGCACGGGTGCACGCAACATCTGCACGTGGACGCCGGCCCGACCGGGTCATGTCACTCGCGCAGGGAGTCGCCAAACAACCGGCGCGGCCGCGTCACGTGACAAAGCCGCCGGGACACGTGCGTACCATCCATGACACCGCGAGCCGCGGGTACTTGGACGGCGGATTCGCCTCTGACTCGGTCGTTAATGAGTGCTGTTGCCCAAAATGGAAAATGGGAAAAAAAAAACAAGTCAGACTCTCACCGAGACGGACAGACAGAAGGAGGAGAAAAGCCGATCAAAATCCACTCGTGTTGCGGTGGGAGTCAGTAATGAAGGTCCCACGTGCAGGCAAGGCTTGAATACGTATGGATGGGGTTTGAGAAGCAGCACGTGCCAAACGGAGAACACAGACGAAGTACGTCTTTCGTCACGGCGCAAATGACACGAACGCAGCGCGTCCCACGAGGATCATTCGGACGCGCCTTCAACCGCTTTGCAGAAATGGAAACCCTCACACATTTGCAAATCAATTTCCTTTCAAACACTCCGGTGCACTTTGGAAGTCCAACATGGCGAAAGCCGCTGGCCCGTTGCCCTCGTTCCCGCTCGGCTGGCCTCCGGCTGGCCTCCGGCTGGCCCACTGAGCCGGCGCCAGTATCCAAGCAACCGAGCCGCCGATCCCCGGCACGACCTTCTTTTGCTGCAGGCTATTCATTTGCTAGCCCTTGACATCTCACCTGGTGCCCAACTAAGCCAGTAAACATCATCCCCCATCCATACTGAAAGCGAAATCACTTTGCTCTCAGCTGCAAAGCCGGGTGGCCTTGAAAAGACTCCCAGAATCGGTCCCTCCATTCCACGCACGGTCAGATGAGCTCACGGCGCGACCAAACTTAATAGGCGGGTCGGCTCCGCGTCCGCGGCGATGCGGACTTTGTATCGGTCTGTCGCGGCGAAAAAGGAGCTGAGCCGAAAGGTCCGGCTTTCCATTGAGCGGTGGATCCACGCGCCGGCCCTCGCCTCTCGAACGAAAAACCGAGATCCCGGATACGCGCGGCCAAAATGACTTGCCTCCGCTTCGCCAGTGCATCCGATTGGCGAGACATTTGGTGCGCATCCTTGATTGTTCGCAACGGGACCGTCGAAACCAGCCAAGAGCCTATCCCCGTAGTCAGAGGGTGCCGTTTATTTTCTGATCACGGTACTCTGGTTGGCGTTTTGTTATTTTTCTCCTCACGCTAGGTCCCGGAAACGTACGTATTTTCTCTCGGCTTCGGTGGTTTTTCCGCCAGTGTCGTTTTCTTGTTGCCGTTGAGAGTGCAGATGAGACTGCGCATTCACGCCTTGCCTTTTTCTTTCGTTCTCTTAATCAGTAGTTGAGAGACAATGTGGACCCAAAGCTTTTGGCACCTGTCTGTGCGTACACGTGTGCGCGCGCGCACGTGCCCGGCACATGCTCCGCGTCCATTTTGGGGATCCTCGCTCTTGACATTCACGTGTCCCGCCACTTGAGTGGAGATCTCTCCCACAAAGGAAGGCCCCAATTGGCAAAGGGCGCATCGCCGGCCAAGGCGCCTCGATTCCCAGAACGCATCGGACGCTCGTATCCCTCAAGCGACGCGCGATGTTGCCGTGATCGGCGCGTGACATGAGCGTCATTTGGTGTCCCTTTGCTGACGTCGTCCCCGTCGGGCCCGAAAATTGAAAAGACTCCATTTGGAAGCAGAGCGCTCTTTCTTCAGCTTTCCTGATCTTTTGGCCACGGCTGAAACGGGGCCAAACGGAGTCCCGCACGGGTCCCTCCGCTCGCATGTATGGCTTGTTTATAACAGCCCTCCAATATGGCCGCCGGTAGTGCATTGTG